TACTCTTGGGACACAAGAGTGCACCAGACAACGTTGTCCCGAATTTCCCAAGAGAAATCTGCATGTCTGTGAGAACATTTTGCTGGTTGCTGTAGAAGGATCTGGTGTATTCGAGACGGTGATTGTGCGACATTTTTCCAGATGCGACCCAGGGTATTCTCAGGACTATGCCTTAGTCCCTCTACTGCATATTTGCTTAAGTTCCCCAGACAATAATCCAATTCCCACAATTCCCTACATTGCTAATGCACAGGCCAAATCTCCAAACAGAACGCTGCATAGATCTGTGAGAAAACAAAGTAACCTCTTTCATTCCAGTGACAAAAAAAATTAACACTTTTCAAAACTGTTTGAACAACTAAATACTCATAAATCCAAGGCACTCGAGTAGTGTGAAAAAATTAAAAAGGCTTTAATCACATGGCTTTAAAATTTAAAAACAACACATTTGTGCACGGATGCGTTGCGGCTAACTCGCCTTCATCAGGGTGTCAATTTAGTTCATTTAAACAATCAGTTCGTCACATGACATAGTCACCAGAACAGGTATCAAAGCAACAACGAGAGAGTTAATTATAATTATAATTATAATCATTCCCAATAAATTCAAAATAATTCAAGACTCTATATCAAAAAAATAAAAGTAAAAAATTTGCGACCCAGGGTATTCTCATGGTGCCCGTAGATTGTGGCTTGGTCCTGATAATGGAGGACGTGGAGTTAACTTTGTTTGGGCCCAATTAAAGCTCATTGTCTTTGTATAAAGTGAGTGGGTGGCATAACAATTATAGTCACTCATTTACAGTATATTGTCTCCAAATGTGACTATTATAATTTTTATATTATATATAATATTAAACTATTATAGTTTATTATAATTATAATGATTATAATTCTAATACAAATCTATTATTATCGATAATGAAAATCATCGACAACGATTCTCATTATCGATTAATTGGGTCTGCCCACATTGCACATCCAACTTCAGCCGATCGCATCAAATTACAGCACTGAATAACGCATTTCTATGGACAAAATGCATCTAAAAATAGTGGAGGAAACAGAATGAGCTCCTGCAGGAGAAGTACGTGATCCAAGCAGCCCAAAACGTGAGAAATCTTTATTTTAAGCTTCAAGCTGATGCATTAGCGTAATGTCTTGCCCTGTCAGGCGCTTTGACAGATACGTATGTGCGTCCTCAGCGCAAAAAACTTTCAGTTAACAGTCATATCCTTATCTGTAAATGTCACAAATTCACGTAAGCCTTTCCATTTTTGCATAAAGGCCCGTCCTGACAGTCTGCGTTAAGTTGAAATCTTTACTGAAAGAGCGCCAGCGCGATAGGCACATGCGTAGAGAGGGAGACAATATTCAGCGCAAAAACATTAATTGTGCTGAAATATCTGTTGTTGAACATTAAATTTAGGTTTAAAAGTCAACATGCAGTGTGAGTAATTTATGAGAGTAGGAACTGTGAAGGGACAGCAGTGTGTAATTGTCTGAACATAAATGTGAGACGCTTTTACAGGATAAAGAAACGACAGTAAGAGGAGACTGACTGTGATCAAAGTGCACGCGACGCGTGTTCCTGCAGAACATTACTGTGACTTTATTCGTCTTTATTATCTTTATTATTTTCATTTTTGATCTAGTGAACTATATTCACTATATAGCCTACAGTGATTAACAAATTTATTAAAACAAATTTAAGTAAGGTTTTTAACCAATTTTGTAAGGTTTGTGCCACCGCTGCTCTCAACTAACAGTATTGGTAATTACCAAAATAATTTTTTAGCTTTCTGTATTGGTTAGTCCTCCAATATGCGTAAGCTCTTTAGTAACAGTAGTAAGCTATTTCTAATGCTATAATATAATTATTGCTTTTATCTATGAAAGGAAGGCAGAAAAAATAGTCATGTGTTTTATAGTGTTTTCAGATACCCAATTAGTCAAAAAGTACATAAACAATGCCAGCAAGCATGCAAGCTGTTATCAAAGGCAAAGGAGGCCATTTTTGTTATTATGTGAATAAATACTATTTAGTTGTTTAGGTTTGTTATTTGCCTAATAAATGACAATAACATTTGTAGATTTAAACATTTTTTTGACAGATTCCTAAAATATTTGTGTTTTCTCTATTATGACAGGTGGTCTAATAAATTGTTAAGCACTGTATGTTTTGTTTTGCACATTTGTTTGAAGGACATTGGGCAGAATGTGGAATAGTGTGTTTTTGTCAATAAAATTAAAATAAAGAAAATTGGGTTTTAAAAAAATCCGCTTAATCGAAACAATAATCGGCCAACTAATCGATTATCAAAATAATCTTTAGTTGCAGCCCTACAACCTTTGCAATCATTGCACATTCCAGGGCAGAACTATAAAACAAACAATAGATGCAAATATGTCCTCTGGGCAGCTGCATGACAAGGATGATGTAACCGAAGTCAGATCACATTCACAGCTATTCTTACCCCGAAACTATTTCAGGCTACATTTTTCTGAGCTCACTCAAAAGGAGCACAGTGTAAAAATAAATCAAGCCATAGCCAACTGACATTTGCATAATACACTGGCCATCATGATGTGAGAAAATGTGGTACAATAGTACCAGGGCTGCCACATGTCCGGAAACATCCATGAGGTTAAATACCTGTAAGTGGTACATCACAACAGAGACAAGACTTTCAAGAATGTACATCTACATCTATTTTTTAAAGTCCCCCTGTAGTCAAATATTTTATCCCTTAAAACTTATCTTTCACTGAACTGTAGTAACCGCAAAACAATGGCATACACGGATGATGACTGATAAAACTATGTTTTTACTAGCGGACAACTACAGTGAATACTGTTACTTACTTGACGATGTTGTGTCCTAAAATGCCTTGAAGTGATAAATGACTAAATAAATAAATAAATAAATACATACATACAAGTACTGGAGCATCACTGTACCTCTGAGAGCTTAATATTCAGTAATATATTGAATTGACTACACTGTGGATGAGAAAACTGTTCTTAGCTGAGTAATGACGCTATTGTCTTCAGTTGAGCTGCTTATTACTGAATTGAACTTTTGTAACTGATAAACATAACAGTTATTGAAATGAATTAATCCAACACTGTACTGACTGCAGCTGAATAATGGCACTATTGACTTTTTAGAGTTGCTGTGCATCAAAAATCGGATTGGTCTTAAATTGATGAAGTTGTCATCTAGGGCTGAAACAATTCCTCGAGTAACTCGAGTACCTCGAATACAAAAAATCCTCGAGGCTAATTATTTTCCTCGAGGCTTCGTTTAGTCCATTTACTGTAACTACACACGGAACACTGTTTCCCCACTGACCATTATTACTGACGCACAAACCTATAAACGCAGAACATATTTAAGACCGTAAATCAATATGGTGTCTAGTTATGATGTCCCTACGTTAGCTATGTTTTGTGAAAGACTAAGCACCATTCATGTTGATCGTCTCATTCTCTCTCTCTGTGACACACACACAGACACACTCCCCATACAGTTATGCATAAAAAATACCACAGAAAGGAAGTTAGTCAATATCACACAAAGAGTGCCAGTTTTCACCTCTAAAAATCAGCATGATCACAAATGTGATACTGATTTTATACAACAGTTCAATAAACAAGTTACTATTAAGAGACTTACATTTTAGACACCATATTGCCTGTTTTTTGCTCTATTTTGCCAACAAAAAATTATTCCAAACACAGCCACATCACTGTTTTGCATCTCTGAGCAACATGAAGGTATTTCTTTCCTGAATGAATGAATGAATCAACCGTTTAAATGATTCTGTTCAATTGCAATGACTCACTTATTAACAGTGACTTGCTGCCACCTACTGGCAGTTTTAATTTGACATTTAAAGTTTTTTTTTTGTTTGTTTTTTGTTTTTTTTAATAATTGTAAATATCAGTATTCAATGTTTTATGTTTAAAATAAAATATTATTTATGCATTTGTAACTGCAGGTTAAATGCATTCATGTCCCTATGAGCTGAATAAAATAGTGTAAATAGGCCTACATCTAAATGCCTCTTCAGATGCAGCTTCTGTGTTTCCTTTGCATTGCAAAGATGAATTTTGTTTATGCTGATATCATTTGTTTGGTAATTTGTTTGATTTTGATTGGCTTCACATCCTGGCCGCATCATCACCTCGGATGTGCATTATTTTTCTAATAATTCAACAGCCTGTTGTCAATTATTCCTTAATTAGGCTAATGCATATACTTGCCAGCCAATCAGAATCAAGTATTCAGACAGACCATGATATAAATATATACAGTATATACAGTATCTCTCAGAAGTGAGTACACCCCTCACATTTTTGTAAATATTTTATTATATCTTTGCATGTGACAAAGTTATACAAGCTGTACACTCACTACTTTACATTGTAGCAAAATGTCATTTCTTCAGTGTTGTCACATGAAAAGATATAATAAAATATTTACAAAAATGTGAGGGGTGTACTCACTTCTGTGAGATACTGTACATGTAGCTAGACTATATGCACTGAGATGTGAGATGAGTATGTTCTCTTCCAGTACATTCACAGAGAGTCCTGTGTATTTAAAAAAAAAACAAGGTGGCCCTGTCCCGCCACGGGCCTCTGTCCAAACAGAGTGTCATGGCATCAGATATCACCCCAAAGGGCAAAACGCAGCAAAGGGTAAAATGTGGACTTAGAATTTAAAACCGTCACGACACGTAACAGGCAAGGTGTCTTGAGACCACTGACACGCTTTGCCTCTTTTCAATGAAATGGTACCAGATTTCACTTGTGTAAATTAAATTTCACACTATACTGTGTTCCCAAGGCAATGTTTTGAAACAGAACACACCGAGCAAATACTAACACCAAGCCAAAGCATATTGAATGAGTTACGTAGAATCTGAATCATGCTCCAAGCTTAAGAAAAACTGAATTAGATCAGATACACAACAGTGCGCCCAAATGCATACCGAGAATATTGTAGCTCCTCTGGTGGTCCTCAGATTCACAATGTCTCCCCAGAAGTCCTGCATCATTCACAGACCCTGGGGAGGGACTTTAAAACTTCGTCACTTGGAGAAAATCAGACAGCACTTAAGACACCAAGAGCTTAAATGATAAGGTCCAGAAACATTGATCATTCAGCCAGCTCATAAAAACAGTCCGCTACTACGGCTAACGATGAAAAACAATCAAAGGTCAACCTGAAGCGTTAAATCATTTCGTTAAAATCAAAAAGGACTGAGACAAGCTACAATCAGGATCTGTGGAAGAGGAAGTCTCTACGCACTTCCTTAAAGCGGCAGTCTGCTTCTACCAAGATCAGGAGCAAAAGCGTCTATGTCACAACTGACTAGGAAGCAGAAGTGAGAGAGAATTCTGCAAGACGCTGCCAGTACACGCTTCTCATGCTGACGTCGGACGGGTCTCACTCCTGGTTGCAAAGACCTAAACATGAGGTGTTATTTATATCCGAGTGTGAGGGTGTGTTGTTGTGAGTGTGCATGTGTTTTTCCACGAGTAGGGGTGAGTGCTTAGGTTCAAACAGCACTGGAGCTATACATGGCCTGAACGCTGGGAAGCTGCCGGGACAACGTGCCATTGCCCTGAGGTGTTAAAGGACATTCAGGGTTTGAAATAAAAAAAGCAATATCACAGGCTACTACTAAAGCTAGGATAATCACATTATAATCAACGAATCTGTCTACACTGCACAATGAATCTCTTATTTACACAGTGTCTACGCCTTTTTGTTTATTATGGGGGTGTTCTATTTTTGTTGCATCGCTTACAGTGTAAAATATATTGGAAGTTACATCACTGCAAGCAAATGGTGTGACAAGTATCAAATATAAAATCAGATTGCTTACTAGACTAATTTACAGTGGTGTGAAAAAGTGTTGGCCCCCTTCCTGATTTCTTATTTTTTTGCATGTTTGTCACAATTTAATGTTTCAGATCATCAAACAAATTTAAATATTAGTCAAAGATAACACAAGTGAACACAACATGCAGTTTTTAAATGAAGGCAACACTTTTTCACACCACTGTATATGCCCCTTACTCACCATTGCATTGCAAAAATTAAAAAAAACATTGCAAAAAAACTCAAATTCTGCCATCATTTACTCACCCTCATGTTGTTTCAAACCTGTATAATGAATGTTGAACTCAAAAGAAGAAGAATGTTGCCAATTAAACAGTTGCTGGTAGTCATTGACTTCTAATTTTTTTCATACAATGGAAGTCAATGGTAGGGCCCTATAAAATCAGTTTTATTTTTTCCCAAATTCCATTTTTTTTTTTTTCCAAATTCCATTTTTTCCATTTTTATTTTTCTGGATTCAGATTTTTTTCTTCATTTAATTTTTCTAGACGTTTTAATGGTTAAATTAAATTTTATTAATTAAAAAGTATGTCTAATTGACAAAACTCATGAAACTTACAATATTTAACAGCAATTATTAAAAGTTTAACAAATATTACATTTTTAAGGCCCTATGGAATGTGTTTTTTTCCCCCCTCAAATTCTGTTTTATTTTTACCAAATTACATTTTCTGGTTTTGTTAAATTTTAATAATCAAAAGCATCTCTAATTAATTGATTTTATAGAAAATAATAATTTATTATTATTATTTAATCTATTTAATTTTTCAGAAATACCTTGTTGTGTGTTTACATTTTTCTGCTAAAATAAATGTTTCATCTATAGTTTTATTTAACTATAGTTTTTACATTAAGTAATATTTTTCTGTCACAGTTTCTTCAAGTTAAACCAAACTTTTATTTTGATGGGTTGCTGTGAAGACCTTTAGGTTTCTGTATATAATATGACATAACGTTTTCTCAAAAGAAACTGTAAAATTCTGTCCATGTTTTCCGCACCGAGGAAATCATAGGGTCCTACAATGGCTACCACCAACTGTTTGGTTATCAACATTCTTCAAATGATCATCTTTTGTGCTCAACAGAAGAAATAAACTCATACAACTTGAAGGGGAGTCTTGATCACAATTTTCATTTTTGGGTGAACTATACTTTTAAGCTAGCTAAATGAATGTGGCAAAAATGTTAGAGAGAAGAAATCATTTACATTTCTTTCAATAAAAGCAAGTGTAAAAAAAAAGTCTAGCAAAAAGTTGTGATATCAAATGTGATAAACAGAACAAATGTTTCACGTAAACAATGCTACTAAGCAAGTAGGGGCAAGCACACTGATACTATGCTCATGAAGAGGAAGAACGCACACCTGTTGCCCCTGACAACAGAGTAACCTTTGTGGGAAGTCAGTGCCATTCAGCCAGTGAAGCTGTTAATGCCTGTAATTAAATCTGAGAAGCTACGCAGTCTATATTAAGTGAATATTATCAGTTGTAGGGCTGGGCGATTTTTGAGATTTTATCGATTAATTCGAATTTAAAGTTTTGCCACGATTTTATTTTTTTATAAATCGAGGAATCGCGATTTTGAATACAAATATTACCAAACGTTAGAATTAGACACTCTGACAATAACAGTAAAGAGAAAAGAACGATCCAACCACATGCCGGCGCACGTGATTAACCGCTCACATGTGATGCAGGGCTCTAGAGTGCGACCAATTTGGTCGCACGTGTGACCTAATTTCTCAATGGTGCGACTAAAAATAATCTGAGGTCGCACCGGTGCGACCAGCCGTTCGAGAGAAAAAAAAGTCTCCGCGACTATGAAAGTCTCCCTGTGGTTCAACAACAGACACACATTAGGCCCATATCGTGGTCTAAACCAATCAGAGATAGTGAAGGGCGGACCCCCCCTCTGATAGAGCCCTGTGACGTGCTCTGTGAAGGACCATATCGCTAGGTGCCATTCACACAGAATGCGCTTTTGTGTTGAAAAGATGTGATGGGGGCAGTGGAATAGGAAAAAATGCAAGAAGATGGGAGATGAACATCTTTTAATAACTAGAGCGCCGTGTTTTTAGAATGCCGTTTCATGCATGAGATGCTGTAAGAGACATGAACGCAACAGTTAAACGCGTCCATGTTTATACAGAAAAAACAATGGAAAAGCAGTGCAATCGAATAAAACACCTGTAAAGAACTTCTACTGTATGTCTGATATTTGACAGGCTGAAAACTGCTGTTCATTGTTTTTACAGAACATTTATAGTTAATAACAGTCTACTGGTGTTATACCTTCAGTCATTTTGAATTTGAATTACGTTGACTTAAGATTTTTTAAAGCCTTTTTCTCATATTATTTCTGAACATATAATATGTATAAGACAAGTTTGTACTCTGACAAGATACGCAAAATCGCGTTTATAATCGCTGACGATATAACCACTCAATTATGAAATCAAAGAAATCGTTCTGCCATTATGAAAGCTGTTTGCGTAGCTTGTCAACAAACCATATATTGTCATATTCGTGTGTTTATTAGACACATTGAATTAATAAAAGCAGTTAAAGCTTCTGTTTATTCAGCAACTGCTATAGGGATTTCCTGGATTTCTTCTGCGGGGTGTATTTGGAGTTTCCGTGCGAGAGCGCCCTCTGGCCCTCAGACGGAGATTTACTACTGATCACAGAACCGTGCTTCACTGACAAGATGCACATGACAATCTCAGCTTTTGCCTAATCGTGATTGCGTTTTCCTTGCGATTTATAGTGTTCAATCTATTAATCGTTATCGTACCTTACATATCGTACAGTTATCGTACCTTCAATCAGTTAAATATGACGCAAATCAATTAACTGACATACTTCAGTTAATTCAATTAAACTTCAGTTTCAGAGCTCTGCTTATCCTAAAACATTCATGCAAGGTAACTGCTGACGTGCACAGGCTACAATTTCATAGAGTTCAGAGGTCATGTCTGTCACCCTCCTATCACAGAATTCAATTTCCAATCAATCAGAGTCTAGAGGCCAACAGAAAAGGATTGACCTAATTTTACAAGGCTTGTGAAAGTACAAGTGACAGTGGGTGTGATTGTAGCTCTGAATGATCTACAGCAGTAGTTCTCAACTGGTTTTGCTTCAGGACCCAAATTGTACATTCAACATCAAGTGGCGCTTCAACAAAGCACCAAAATTATTTTCAGCACAACTGCGAGGCTTATTTGGAGTTTTAGCACGAGAGCGCCCTCTGGTCTTTGGATGGAGATTTACTGCTGATCACAGAACAGTGCTTCACTGAAAGATACGCATGACAATTGCAGCTTCTGCCTAATCGTGATTTATCACCTTTGCGATTTAATTTCGATTAATCTTGCAGCCCTAATTTGTTTAACATTTACATCATGATTACAACTTAATGTGTGGTGCACTTAGAATAGAATTTTCTTTAACTAGAGGGTTAATAAAGAAAAAGTTACTTGAATCATGTTGTAGTTACATTTTCAAGTTGACTAGTTATGTAACAAATGTAAAAAGAGGTGCTCTACCAACAGAAGAGGAGGTGCAACCAAAAATCAAAAAACATATGAGCTGAACAAAGGTGCAACACTCACTCTTCAAAGTTCAAGCTTTATTAATAAAAACATGATTGTTATAGGAAACTACTTCTCAATCAGTACAATTAGTGGAGCTGCACACCTGTTGGTGATTATCAGACTGCACATAACTGTGTGAGATTGTTACTCTTGTTATCTGATAAAGGCCTTGGACGGCCAAAACGTCATGTTGTTTTAGTAATAAAGCTTGACCTTTGAAGAGTGAATGTTGCACCTTTGTTCAAAAACGTCATGTTGTTTTATTAATAAAGCTTGACCTTTGAAGAGTGAATGTTGCACCTTTGTTCAGCTCAAGTTGACTAGTTAAAAATCATACAAAATAGAGAATCGGTCAAATGTTCTAAGAAAATCGAGATTTTATTTTTTTGCCATATCGCCCAGCCCTAATCAGTTGATGTACTAAGCATTTGCAAAATTTACCAAAATACTTCACCATATTTGAATTTTGAAACAATTCATGTGGGCAAGTGGTTTTGTGCCCAAAAAAGTCAACATACATAAACAGGTTACCATTTTCTGCTGTCTAAGCATCAATCATGCCAAAGCATTACTAGGGCCCTATGACATCCATTTTAATTTTTCCAAAATTTTGTTTTATTTTTGTCCAAAGTCTGTTATTTTCCGTTTTAATTTTTCTAGAATTTGTTTTAAAGGGGTTATAGGATGCCCATTTTCCACAAGTTGATATGATTCTTTAGGGTCTTAATGAAAAGTCTGTAACAGTTTGGTTAAAATTTCTCAATGGTAGTGTAAAAAACACCTTTTTTACCCTGTCAAAAACAGCTCTTTTCCGTTTTTGTAGCATTTTCCTTTAAATGTTAATGAGCTCTGCTGACCCCGCCCCTCTCTTCCGAGCTGCTCTAAGAGAGACTGTTTAGTTTAGCCGCATTCATCGTGAAACTTGCTAATTAGCACATTATT